ATGTTATTATGACTATATATCTCCCCTGCTCCATACAATCCTCCCCCTCCCAGTTTCCCACAACACTAAATATGGCAGGCCTGAAGATCCAATGCAAACATGGCTTCCAGGCCTGACATGTGGTACTTTTCATTATATTTATTAATGATCTAAAATCAAGGAAATAGAGAAAACAAGGATCCTCCTCTGCCTCTAAGTAGGAATATTTGCTGGTGTGGCAGGCTAAGGAATAGAAAAAAAGTCAAACGCAATTGTTTATTACAAAAGCTCTTTCCCATAATATATACAAGTGTTAAGAATGACAAGATAAAAAACCTTGGGTGTATTATTTCAATTAGAAATTTCTGGATTTGAATCAGAAATTTGATGCCTTAGACCAGGGGTGTTAAACTCAAGGCTTAGGAGTGCTTAGATCTGGCCTGCAGGACCATCCTGGAAACAGCAAAGGACCGGCCCGTGGTGCCTCTGCCAGCAAAAATGAGGCTCGGGGGGGAGGGCACATGCAATCCTCCCAGGCTCCATTTTTGGTTGCGACAGCCTCCTGCAGCCCTCTGCCAGGGAAAACAGAGCTCAGGGAGCTGTTTTCGCTGGCAGAGGACTGCAGGAGGCCATCGTGACTGAAAACGGAGCCTCAACGAGTGACGTGGAGCTGGCCACACCCTCTCTGGCCCTGCCCACTCCAGCCACGCCTACTCCCCAGCCCCCCAAGGTCAAACACAACCCTGATGCGACCCTCAATGAAATCCCACCCCTAAAAAGTGGGATATTTTAAAAGTTTAACTAGTTTGGTTTAACTGCTGATTCACATTATTCTTCAGGTTAAATAAGCTACAGAGCAGTGTTTAAATAATGATTTGCAAGTTGAAGTGACCTGACTGGAATATCTATCACCAAAATAGTTAGTAAACTACAATGCTTAACTAAATTAGCCTATAGAACCTCTTATGGAAAACATACAGTATGTGAATTTTCACTGCAAACAGCATACAAGTTTTATACAGAAGCTGGTCATCCTTTGAGTTTCCATCTTTTCTAATCCAAAAAGTACATTTTTGTTAGATTCCTGATATCCACATTAATTACAGGATCATTTTCTGCATTTATCATAGCTAACAAGATGTATCAAAAGTGGTGTTTATTTGAAAAAATAACCAGACTGATTTTAAGGAAAACTAAAACATTTTATTTTTCCTCAAAATCAGTCCAGTTGCCTTTTCAAAATAAAAACCACTTTTGATACAGCTATGGCCTGCATAACTGAGAATCTTTATGGACAACGGCTAACAAGAATTTTGGAAAAGGAAACAAAGAGTATTGTGTTTTTTCCTCTGTTGGTTCAAAACCATTGTGTAGTTTATAAAATGTATTAAATGATTTGAAAGAGAGATAAACCCAAGAATGCAATTCATAATATTGATGGTTGCAGGGACAAGATTCTGAGGTGATGCCTTGCAAAGTTATGAAATCTCGGACCAATAAAAACATAAAGCAGGTATTTTCATAGAATAATAAAAACACAGAATGCAAATATGTGAAGCGACTTCAGAAATCATCTCTTATTAGTCATTTAGATAGTGAGATGGGCAGCAAATACATTTGATTAATAAAATAAAAATAAATAATAATCTAGTCCAAACCTGTGCCTAGTAAAAGGTTCCCTCACATAGCCTACAAAACAAATAGTCATCCAGTTTTAGTTTAAACACCTCCAGTAAAGGAGGCTCCACTATTTCCCATTAGTTTTCAATTGTTGGACAGTTTTTATCATTAGGACTTGTTTTTCTCTGGTATTCAACTAAAATAATTCTACTCTGTTTTTCTATGACAGCTTTTCAGATATTTTATAATTAATTCATTTTATTTTTATTTCTCTTGTTAAGTACCAATAGATTTCCAGAATCTAGATCAGAATAAGGGGATCTTTCAAGTATTGGATTTCCATCAAAAATAGTTAATGTATCACTTTTTTTCACAAAAAAATAAAGCCTCAAGCTATAGCTGACTATAATTTTAATAGTCATTGCTCCCATTTCAAAGTGCCTTAACAAAAATAAAAACTGGTTTCCTGAACATTCATATTACAAAAACATTTTTTTCTCAGCAAAACAAGATTAGAGAAAAGTGAACTCTCCTGGAAAGCCTTGAAAAAAAATATTAGGATATGGCATGTTCTTTATCCCCCGTTTCCAAAATGTTGAGTCATGGAATTTCTCCAGGATTCATCTTAAGGTTCCTATTAAAAGAACAAGAGTTTTTACTGGCTCAATACCCTCAAGTCACGATTGATGTAGAAAACTGCACACCTTTTTTCTTCTTTCCAATGTACAAGGAATAGCTCAAGGATTCTCTTTCTTTTCTTCTTCAGGGGAAGATTAAAGATACAATCTTTCCAAATTCAGAACTGGGAGAGGGGATCTGAATATGATAAGCTTACATTTTAAAGGGCTTTCTGCTCAAGTTGGCATAGAGTTTTTACCCTGAGGACTAAATTACTTATACTTAACAATCACGAGAGAAAATCCACTCCAATCAGATAAAGAAAAGTAAATAAAGTTTCAGGCTCTCTCCTGGTTCCAATTTGCTACAAGAACAGTTAATTTGCATTCAATTAAGTGATATTCTATGCACAATCGCTCTTAATTATATCACCATTACGAGGAAAGTGTAACAACAACCATGAAAAATGTATTAAACTAGGCTCGTAAGTAGCTACTTGCCTTGTCAACAGTGGTGAAAATGAACTTCTGTCATACTGCAATACAAGCTAATCTGTGCCATGAGTCAACTGCAAGATGATACTTATGACCTCAAGCAACTGTGATTTTACATAAGAGAAAACAAACTTTCTAAAGTATAAAGAAAAAGGATGGGCCTAAGGAAAAATTTCAAATGGACCATTCAACTATGCTGGGTAAAAAGTGTTGAACACTTGAAGAATAACATCTTTTATCTCAGCTAAAATGAGAAAAGGCAGGCCGATGTACTTACCTGCAGAAATGAACAAGAGACACATTGAGACAAACCTGTTAGTCCCCTAGATTGATAAGAGGGAGGGTAGAAATGTGGACTCTTGAAAGTGTGAAGGCAATCTGAGGTATCCAACGTGGAGCAATGTTAACAGCTGAGTAATGGAGCATGAGACTATGCTTCACCTAGAGGTCTGCAGGAAAACTAGATTTACTGAAAACACAAGATACTAACCCAGCTCTCCAATAGGAACTAAATCTAGATGAGAGTTGCTTCCTTACTATTCCCCATCTTGATTCAAATAATGGGCACATCTTGCTTCATTATCCAAATCCAAAAAACAGTATCATCACTGCTGTTTTATTGGTGATTTCTATGGTAAAATTTGAAAACCGTGTTGTTGATTGTATAGTATTACTAATGTATTCCTGAAAATACTGGACAGATTTGTTGGAAAAATATCGCAATTGGAAAAAAAGCAATCTGTAAAAATTGAATTATGCAAAAAGAATCATAAAAACAAAGGTGAAGGATTGTATTGTTTTTGGTGGTGGATATATCTAAAGGATTAAACAGCTGTATAAATAATCATGATAGAAGTAATATTGATGATTTTACTATTTGAAGAAGGTGAAGTATATTTTATAACCCTGAAAATGTAAAGAAAAATGCATTAATACTGGGATTGTAAAAATTGAATTAATTTGAAATGGAAGTTAGGTTTATTTAAAAAGGGGGTTATAAAAGTAAATGGGAAGAACTGTATTATTTTGGGTAAAATGATTAATGATAAAGATGATGTAAAGCAAATTTAATGGAATATAAAATAATGGATAAAGTAGCAAGATAAGATAAAATTTGGTTCATCTTGGGGAAAAATTGATACTAAAGAAATAATTGCAAAAAATTAAATGTTTGAATGACTGTGCTTAAAGGGTTTCGATAGATTAAAAAATTGTGATAAGTGAAGACAAGGAGGCGAAGGCGGATGGTAATATTGATTATATATCAATTATATAATTGGCAGAAATTGGAGTATATATAGTATATAGTAAATATGGAGAAGATGTATGAATTTTGACTCGGTCAATACTCTGTTCAGAAATTATGTATTTTATATTTGCGTGTCTGAAAAAAATAAAAAATATTTTTTTTTTTAAAAAAGCAATCTTTCCAAAGTTGGAAATAGTAATTTCACATACATGTAGGCCTAAGTACTTTGTTTTTTTTGCGGTTTTTGTGATGAATCCCAAGAAAATCTGAGTTCTCCTTTGCCTGTCTAAATATGTTAACTGTGGCTTTTTCCTATCCCTCCTCAAAATTGTGTCCGAGAAAGCAAAATTAGCGGTGTTAAGAATTAAAACCGTTGACGCTTAACAAACAGCAGCATCTCGGTGTTGGAATTTAAGAGCTCGTATTTACAAAACTACGGAATCCACGCGGAAAAAAGCCACAAAATCCAGGAGGGAAGCGAAATCCGCAGGCGCCCCATCCTTCCTTCCAACGAGGGGAAACAGCGGGATTCTTGAACACGTAAAAACCCGCCAGGCTTAAAGTTGCCAAGGTTGGAGACCCCTGATCCAGGTCATGGTCGTCCCAAAGGTGCTCTTTTTCAAGAGGCAACTGGACTTTCTTTGTTTTTGCTTGAAAACGTTTCGCTTCTCATCCAAGAAGCTGAAGAAGAGCTGAAGAAGCTTCATGGATGAGAAGCGAAACATCTTCAAAGAAAAACAAGAAAGTCCAGTTGCCTCTAAAGTTGGGGGGGGAGCTTTAAGGCGAAACACCGGCAGCGCTTTTCTACCCGTGAGAATTCCGAGGGGGCGGAGTCGGAAACCGCCCTGCTCCAATCGGAGGGCAGAACTCTGAAAGCGGAAGAGGAAGCGCCTCAGCACTTTAAAGATGGCGGCTCCCGTGGGGCTACTCTCTCGGTTTACCGCGCTTTTGCCTCGCTTCTTGGGAAGCGGCTGGAGCCGGCCTCCCTTTCGCGGACTCCGGCAGGGTGAGTGCCGATGTTTCCTTTCCCGCACGTAATGCTTCAAAATCAACGTCCGGGGTGCAGCGCTGGCCGAGGACGGGGTGGTTGAGCCATCCGGGTGATGGTGATGATGCCTTGGCAGCCGCTGAAACAAACGTGCTGTTTCTGTGCAGTCTTAAAGCCCGAGGATGGATGTGTCGGTGCACGTACTCGTAATCCCTGAGAATGCACGGCTAATGCAAGGTAGAAAAGCAAGACCACCCTACCAAGGGCACAAATCTGTAAAATTCCTATGCCTGTACAGCTATGGGGCAGTGGTGAAATCCAATTTTTTTTTTACTACCGGTTCTGTGGGTATGGCTTGGTGGGTGTGGTGTGGCTTGGTGAGCGTGGCAGGGGAAGGATACTGCAAAATCCCCATTCCCTCCCCACTCCTGGGGGAGGGATATTGCAAAATCTCCATTCCCACCCCACTATTTGCCGGTTCTCCGAACTACTCAAAATTTCTGCTACTGGTTCTCCAGAACCTGCTGGAGGTTTCACCCCTGCTATGGGGTATCTTCGCCATCTCTTTTCTTCCTTCTCCTCTTCCTCTGGGATCTGTATGGTCGGAGAATTCCCTCTGTTGAAGCAAATGCACTTGGAAGTACAGGTAGTCCTTGATTTAATGACAGTTCATTTAGTGACCATTCAACGTTACAACAACACAAAAAAAGTGACTTATGGCCATTATTCACACTTAAAAACCGTTGCGGCTTCCCGTTGTGGGCAGCCGATCAAAATTCAGATCCTTGGCAATTGACTCATATTTATGACAATTGCAGTGTTCCAAGATCATGGCATCGGCTCTGACAAGCAGAATCAATGGGGAAACCGATTCACTTAACAACCTGTCTTACTTACTTAACAACTGTGGCAAGAAAAGTCGTAAAATGAGGCAAAACTCACTTAACAAATGTTTCACTTAGCAACAGAAATTTTGGGCTCGGTTGCGGTCGTAAATCGAGGACTACCTGTATTGCAAAGTTCAGGTGTAAACATAGATGCAAATAATAGAGACAATGCATTGGATTGACCCTCATGGATGCAGATTGGAGTGGGGGATCAGCACATCTAAGCTGGGGAAAGCTGCCATAGTAAGAATGTGGAATTAGTAGTCTTAAAATAGTATCAAATGTCTTGATCGGTGTTAATTCAGATGTGGTGCTAGAATTCATTGGGTCTATTGAAAGGATCCAAGAGCCTTTCAGGGGTCCAAGAAATCAAAATCATTTGCCAGACAATGTTGAAAAATAATACAATATTAAAACTCTATCAAATAATGTGAGGAGTGTATCAGCAACGTATGCATCAGTGTTAATTTTTAATACGGTAAATAATAAATATAACCCTTACAAACAAAGCTTTTTTGGAATCCTCTATAAATTTTAAAAGTTGGAAGGGATTCAGAGAGAAAAAGGTCAAGAAGCATATCTAGATGTTCAGTTAAAATTCTGATAGATCTTTAGGTTTCCCAATTTTTGTTAAGGATTTTCTTAAGGGGGGGAGGTTGTTTGATAGTATCATATGTCTGTTTGTGTGTGCATGCGTGCCCATGCACACACAGTTAATCCCTGCTTCTCCAGGTTAAGGCTGGAAAAAGACATTTATTGGAACCCAGAAAACTGCTACCATTGAGAGACACACTGGGGTTCATGGTCTGACTCAGCATAAAGATGTGCTGTTCCCATTTTCTTGTCCCACATATTTTCCATTGATTTAATATAATTTGTTTCTATTAAGCATTTAGGGAGAAATACTAGTGTTCTTTGTGTGCTTTTCCTTTAAATATTATGATGTTGCACTGTACAACTTTAGTTTTTCTGTGTAAGAATGCAGTAGGTCTGTAATCTGTACAGGAATCCTGATATCATTGACTGCTGTAGAGCAGGGGTAGCCAATTAATTTTCCCAAGGGGCCACATGTGAAATTGAGGCAATTTTGGGGAGCCACTGATTCTGCCTCAGTCTCCACTGATGTCCTGCCACCAATGCCCCCCCCCCATGTCAATGACATGACAGTGTGGGCTGGACAGGGATAGCTAAAGAGCTTGATGTGACTTGCAGGCCATAAAATGCCCAGGTCTGCTCTAAAGGCTGGGGTTTTTTTTAAGCTGCATCTCTCATGTGAGATTTTATTTATTTTCTTTATCTTCCCACTTTTATAGGTGATTAAATAGCCATTTCCAAATTATGTGGCTATTAATGATTGTATTTTCACTATTTGTGAATATGTATCATAAAAAAAAAAAAATTTATAGTATGAAAAGTGCTGAACTATTGGGAAGTATTCTCTGAGTTGTTGAAAAAGGATAATTTTTTTGCTGACCCCATAGTCATAGTGATAAGAAGCTTTGACAAGAGACTGTACATTGTGATGACTCTTCCATCACTTGTGTCATAGTCATTTTTTAGCTTGTTTATTTCTCTCAGTTCTCCAGAATATCAAGTTGCTCCACTTAGTAGAGGATAATCTCCACATTCTCCAGAATGGCAAGACGTTTAGAAGATTACATGCTACCTATTATTTTCAGCCTGAAAATACTTGGTAGGCTAATCGGTTCAGGTTATTCTAACATAATTATTGCTGATTATTACTGTATGTATAATGTTTCAGTAATCTGGAAAATAGATTTTTTTCCCTTTTATATAAACTGAATTTGTTTTAATTGCCCTTTCTCCCTGACTGAGGGTTTTGTGGAGTAATATTAGAGAAAATATTTGGACAAATGCTGAGTATTGGATTTCATATTAACTTCCTCAAATATCATTTCCATTCTAATACTGTATTTATTACTAGGTCACAGCAATTATAAAATGCTCTTCATGATCCCAATTTCTTTACTGGATTTAAATATATCTAACATTTTCTTCACATTTTTGTGTTTGCAGTTGTAGAAACTTCTGAAGGGAACACCACAACGGTAAGCGTCCTGCATTTTCTGAATTGCAAATATTAACTTTTATAAACCATCAACTTTCAACTGAAAAATGGAACAGTAACCTTAAATGAATAATCAATATGCATTTAAATCTTGGTATTGTTATGAACAAAGCTTATCTAATTCCTTATATTAACCTTCTGAATATGTTCTCAGAACTTGCTCTTATAATCCCTTGTTACTTCAGTAAAAACCACTGCTTCTTACAGGATAGGGATGTCTACAGGTCTGAATAAAGACTATGGACTTCCAGGACCCTCTTTAAAACTACTGAAACAGTATGGAATTGCTGTTGATTGAATATACTCACAAGAAAAAGAATGCTCTGTGATGTTAAGAATATAATACAGATAAAATTAAATGTGCTTTGCAAATTTTGATTTTGATTTCTCTCCTGGTTTATTAGTGTAATCTGAAAATGTTTTCCTGGATAGTTTGCTTCTTTCTTTGGCATCATAAATGTCAAGTTGAAAAACAAAAAGAACTCTTTTGTGAGAAAAGTGCATTGCCTTCCCATCCAGCACTTAGCATCGTTTTGGGAAAACACTTGTGGTGAAGTCATAGTCATAACACTTTAATTTTCAGGACCTTTCCAAAGTAATCTATGCTTCATATGGAGTTGTATAATGAAGGCTTTTGCTGTCTAAATTGCTATACAATTTTTTGAACCAGGTGACACTAACATTCATCACTGGAAGTTTTTAAGAAGAGACTGAATAGTCACTTGTCTGAAATGGTATAGAGTCTCCTGCTTAAGCAGGGGGCTGGACTAGAAGACGACTTCCAGCTCTATTCTGATAGATTGGTTCATTTGAATATAGTTCTTGTGTACTAATAACCACATTAAATCAAAGGTCAAGTTTTTAGCATCTAAAAAAAATCAGTTCGTTTATTTACCCACTTTATGAATAAGTCATTTCAAGGTGACAGCCTTGTCTATGTAAGTGTGGATTACTAGTCCTACAACTCTATCCCTAGGTTTGTTTTTTTTTTTTATTAGCAGTACTAAATAGTGTTCAAGACTGGTTTGCTGGCATCAAAAAAAGTCAAGAACAAAATTCAAAGCAGAAGATGAGCTTTATTTATAGAAATACCCTATTGGACCGAAGATAAAATAAATATAAGGGCTTTAGCATTTGGATCTTAAACCCAGCTTCTTCTTTTAAATCTTCCCCAGAAAATGATTAAGTATCTTTTGCAGCAAACAGATTTCCAAGTCAAATACTTTGTGATTATGTCCATGATAATTTGCCACATTTGCAAAGATGTCCTCAGACCTTCTTTTAGAATAGGAATAGGAACCTAGCTGACAGAAAATGCCTTTTGTCAATTAAGCTTTTTGTTAAAATACTTCCTCAAAGAACATGTTATGAATTCCCATAACTTTAGACACTTTAAAGTTAGTGGAGCAGCTTTGGGAAATGTAGGGAAATGTGGGAAAAGAAGCAATTATGAGATAAGTTACATCTTTGAGCATGATTAGGTGGGACTGTGGACCCTATTGCTTTGAGGAGGAGTTATTAGCTAGATAGATAGAATGTGTCCCCTTTCTAAGACAGGATCCTCCTAATAGGATCCTATCCAGTATCTGTTTCTAGTATTTCAGAACAAAGTGGTACTTGCAAACTGCTACTTAAAATTCAAAGTATTTTTTTTTCCTTTTTTCAAGTTCATTCTCTGAAGTGTAAATTGGTAGCAGTTAAGTCTAATTATCCTTTTCTGCAGTTTGATGTATTGATGTTGTATGTGCTGAATAAATTAATGTAGGAAATCAAACAAGTTTTTAAAACTTGGACTGAAAATTTCCCTCATCAGTTTGCTCTTAAATATCTTAGATCGAAGGCAAAATTATAGACAATGTGGAAATCCCAAGCCCTCCAAATCCTTCTGGTAACTGTCCTATTTGTCGCTGGAACTTGAAACACAAGTACGATTATATGGTGAGTTTTTATTCTAATACTTGCTCAAATATAGCTATGCTGACATCCTTCTGCTGAGGATAAAGTATAGTTAAATCCAGTTATTTCTAGATCATTCTCATAATTGTATGCCTGGTATTGTCTAATGAAATAATCAACTGTCTTAGAGGTCAACTCTTCTTTGCACAAAATGTCAGGACTGCCTGAGAAGCAAAATTACATGTGTAGACTTTGTTACTGCTAAATTACATACCAGCAAAACCTAATGCCTAGAACATTGTTTTTAGTTGAAAATAATAATTTACATTCTTAGAGGCATCACACAAAAGGAAAAGAAAATAGAAGAAAAACAAAATTAGCAAGCAAAAATGCCAATTCTTTTGTAATAGTAGTTGGCAGAAATTTTTCAGAGGGAAAGAATTGCAGTAAAGGATATAGTATGTTTATAATGTGTATATGTACTTTGCACAACATTAATATACCTCTAACTGTACTGTGCACACATGTATAAGTGTATATAAGTTAAGTTATGTATAAGTTAAACTCTCTACTGAAGTTTGCTGGCAAAATGATCTCTTTTATAAATCTGATAACATGATATGACAGGAAAAGGTTTTCATCTTCTAGGATGGAAATCTAGGAAATTTATAAAGTTATTTGCATTAACTGACTTCCAGCATCTTAAAACAGAAATCCACCCCAATCTTACCTAGAAAGACCAAGGAATAATAGCTATTTTATTTCTTCTTGGAACATTGTTGAACAATTATGTACGTAGCAGAATTAGAATCTGTACATTGTTGGAACTCCGTTTATTTTCACATTGCTAACCAGCCATGTTGTTGAATGTAATATGACTTGTGCATGTTTTGGATTTCATACTGAACTAACATTCTTGGAACTATAACTTATTTCATGAAATCATTGATTTTGTGACTGATTGCACATTTAAGAAAACAAAGTCCTAATTAGGATTGGAGGTCTACTTCCAGCAATTTCTGGTGAGTGGGCAATAAGGTTTCCAAGATAAATAAAAAAGAAAGTAGTATTATAGGTCTACCCTTCTATCTTCCAGTGAGTAAGTCTTGGATCTAGACAATCTCTTTCCAGCTGTAGTTAAAATTCTCATGAGTAAAATACCATAAACTGTTGAAGACCCATATTAATCATGGATTGGATGAAGAAAAAGAAATTGACACTTAATCCAAACTAGACAGCTGTGTCCCTGGCTGATTAAAAGGCAGTTCAAGGAAAGTTACTAAATAGTTTTAGCAGCATTGTTTAAGGAAGGCTGAATATAAATCTAATTTTTTTTAATCAAATATGCAGTGTCACTTTATTTAGTTTATAATCCATCCCATGATTCTGCAGCCTCAGTATCACAAAAAAGATAACTGGATATTTTGGCAATGCAACTCTTTACACTGCATGGGGAAGCATAGTTTCTGAGCAGCCAAGCATCAAGCTGTCCTGACATCAAGTCTTATTCCAAAAGAGGATAGATTATGCCCATGAAATAGGAGGAAAGAGAATTTGCAGCTATGCTTTTAACTCCACAAAATGTTATATCAGAAATCCTTCATATTTATAATAAATCGTTGGGCTATTGCAACCAACTTTGCAACATTTGTCCCCCACCCAGGTATATTGCACTTAAAAAAATAGCAAACTAGGCGACTGGGATAAAACATCAGACTGCAAAATAAAGTCTGACTGTGAAGCATTATAAATGGTCACATATGCGGACCAATTTTGAAATCCTGAATTTATGCACAGTTATGGGCAGAAAACATTTCTCACAAGACACTCTTTCTCCGATGCACTGTTCGCCTAGCATTGGAGATTTGAATACTTTGAAATAAGTATTCCATAGCCATTTATGGTCAGCTTTTTAACGGAACATCTACCTCCTCCTTTGGAGAAGGAGTTGTAATAGTTGTTGAATCATTGGAAAGTGCTTTAATGCAAGGACAAGGAACATGTGATTTTCTGGCTTAATCTAGCCTGCACATGGACAAGGAGAACCGCTTCCCTGGAATCCCTCTCTGATACTATCAGTTACTTTCCCAGCATGCCTCTACTCCAGCTGCTTTCTCCTTCCCCCTTTGGGGAATGTGAGTGAGACCCTGCCCATGGGGCCCTTGAAACAGAGCTTCTGAAAGCAAGACCAAGTGATTTTTTTCCATTCAGAACCTGGTCCTGAACTCCTTCTCTGCTTGATCCTGCAATTAAAAACTCACCAATTCATCTTGGGGTTTTTTTTTCCACGTAACAGCACACCAGGAGGCTTCAGATGATTTGAAAAGTTTGTGGCGTTAAAAGAATTAAAAGAAGTCCATTAAGTTTTGAAGATAAAGGGAATTTTGTTTTTATTACAGTTTTTTAAGTTTAATAATATCCTAGTCACTTAATTATGTTTAGAAGTTTTTTGTTTTTTCAATATGGCTTTGTTTGAAACAGAAGTGATTAAAATTGCCAAAGGAGCGCTACAATAAGCAAGCAGCTCTTGTGCAACCCAAAATAATAGCATGGGATGAGAAGAGTGTGCTGGTTGTATAAACAAATCCCGAAGGTCATTTAGTCAAATTATTAGCACTTGTCAGGAATCCAGGTGGCCTTGGGTATTGGACCTGCCCACAATTGCAGCCAGATTTCTGCTTCCAGAGAATACATTGTTCATGATGGATTTTGTTTACCTAACAGGAGAAATCAAATACTCTTGTCCAGATGAAGGCAAAACTTTTATTTCCTCTTCTCTTGCTTGGAACACGATTAGTCTGACCATGAGTAAATGTCATCTCACTTTGGCAGTGGAGAATGGAGACCGAACTCCAGGCTTTGCTTCTGAGTTCCAAATTAATTCAATCCAAGTTGTTTTCATCAGATCCTACAGATTACAGGGGTGGGAATCTGGGTTCAGCCTCTCCCAGGAGCTGCCCAGTGATTAAAGCAAAGCTGTAGTTGCAGTCTTGGCTGCCCATTAGCACACAGTGTTAATTTCATGGAACATGACGGCAGTGCTAATCTCTTCCAGAATACTTTTTTTCTTTTAACCCTTTTGCATTTGTTTCTCTGTTACCCTAAAACACTGTATCTTTGCACTGCCTTGTAGCATAGATGAACTCTGAATGAGCAATATTACATTGTTCGAATTGGAGTCTGTTTGTGTATTAAAAAATGTAAAAAGATAAAAACTAACAAATTAATATAGAATAAAGATAAGAGGGGGAAAAGAAAAGAAAAGAAAGACAAAGTCAAAAGTGCAAAAGAAAGAAGTATAAAAAAGCAGCTTCTGATTTTCTTTACAGCAGTTCTAAGTATAGATGTGCATTTTACTTACTCATACTCTATGGTTACAACATGGCAGTCTTTTTTTCTGTAAACTGGTTTTTCTAATAATCGAAATCGTAAATCATAAATTCACTTGTTTATGTTTCATAAGAGTTGTTTATGTGTCTATAAGAGTTTCCAGTCAACAATAAATAAATATGGCTTTTCTCTGATCAAATGGGTCAGTTTGACCATCTCAGCAAATTCCATCATCCTCACCATTCATTCCTCCATTGTGGGTAGTGTCTAATCTTTCTATCTTTTGCATATAATAATCTTGCTGCAGTTATCGTGTACAAAAGACTTGAGGCTGCAGCTGAACCCTGGTAAGATGAAATGGCTGTGAGTGTAAGGAGCCTCAGGATCTGTATGTTTATCATCCTTAGTTCTGGATGGGTTTTGCATTACCCCAGACAGACCTGGTACGCAATCTGGGCGTTCTCCTAATATGATCCATGTGTACTATAATTCTGGAATTTCAAATATTAGTTCATCTGAGGCAGAAAAGAGAAATTTAGCATTGCTCAAAGGTTATTTTCAGCTGAGTAAACTAATTTGTCCTGTGAATAGTTTACATTATTAATAATTCTGCTTGTAATTATTCTAAATTCTGGCTGCTTGATTCCAAACTCAGTAATCTTGACAAATAAGTAGGTAATAGATAACATTTCCAAGCAGGTATCTGCTATGTTTGAATTTTATATTTCTTAGATACAGTGTAGAACAGTATAGAGCGACATTTTCATGTTTTTGCTAATGTGTTTTTTTAACTTTAGTATTAGATTACTCCATGACTTGTTGTTTTGTCTTAGTTCTGTATAACTTTGTAACAGTAATTTAGTAACTTTAAATATTCTAGTTATACTTTCACCCAAGAACATCTAGAAATTCTTCTTGTGGCTTGGTTTGCCTTATAATCATTGCCTGAAAACGTTAGTTGAATGCCCTGGAATGCATTCCAAGATAGATTGCAGTGCTGCCTTTCTTCTCTTTCTGAAGAAAAACCCTGAGTAAAATCATATTTTTATTAATTGGGAAAAATTAAAAGTACCTAGAAAATTAGAGCATTGTCAAGTTCTTTTTTTAATCAGTTTTATTTCTGTAAAGATAAAACAGAAAAAGAAACAAAATACAAAGATATGTACGTCATTTTAAAAAAGGCAAAACTAAAGGTGTTAACAGAGGGATAGAATCAAGATCACATGAAGTGTTAATATCACTTTATAATGCCTTGTTAAGGCCACACTTGGAATACTGCATCCAGTTTTGGTTGCCACAAAACATCGTAAAAAAGATGTTGAGACTCTAGAAAGAGTGCAGAGAAGAGCAACAAATATGATTAGGAGACCGGAGGCTAAAACATATAAAAAATGGTTGCTGGAATTGGGTATGTTAAGTTTAATGAAAAGAAGGACTAGGGGTGACAAGATAGCAGTGTTCCAATATCTCAGAGGTTGCCACAAAGAAGAGGGAATCCAGCTGTTCTTCAAAGCACCTGAAGACAGGACAAGAAGCAATGGATGGAAACTAATCTAGGAGAGAAGCAACCTAGAACTAAGGAGAAATTTCCTGATGGAACAATTAATCAGTGGAACAACTTGCCTCCAGAAGTTGTAAATGCTCCAACACTGGAAGTTTTTAAGAAGAGATTGGACAACAATTTGTCTGAAGTGATATAGGATTTCCTGCCTAAGCAGGGGGTTGGACTAGAAGACCTCCAAGGTCCCTTCCAATTCTGTTATTCTGTTATAAATTTAAAGGTTACCCTCACACATATGTGTTAGTCATTCCCGACTCTAGGGGGCGGTGCTCATCTCCATTTCAACACCAAAGAGTCAGTGCTATCCTATTTTTCTACTTGCATTTTTTACGTGCTTTCGACCTGCTAGATTGGCAGTAGTTGGCACAAGTGGTTAAAAAGTAAGTGAAAAAGTAAAATATATATATATAGAGAGAGAGAGTATAATATGTCATTACAATAGTAAACAATTATAAGTCTACATATAATTATCTAATGCAAATAGGCAAATGTATTCATTTCTAATCCCCTTAGATAATGATCATGCTTTTTTACCTGCTGTATTTTGTATAAATAAGTCATATTTTATTATATTTATCCATACAAAGTACATATGTAAGCAATCCATTCATAAATAGCAAATGTAAGTAGATCTTCAATCCATTGAATAAATTGGCAGTATATTGTGTTTATCTTTCTAATGTTGCAATATCAGTCTTTCAGATGTAAGGGGATGGAGAATCCATATGCAGTTGTCAAATTCTATGCACTTGGCATGCAATTCAAGAGAATGTTGTTAATACAGAAATAATACGTGAAAACTGAAGATTTTGCTCATAACAAAACCCTTACACTTTTGGCTGTTCGTAGCTTCGTGTATCATCCTTTGCATTTTAAAGCACCATTGGGAAATAATTTTAGCATAGGGAGCAGAGCAAAACATCTGGTAGTGATGCACATAATGATTATGCAGAAACATTCAGATGGCTAATTTCATAATGCTTTTCGGAAGCTTTTGCGTCCCCATCCCTTGTGAGCTCAACTGATAATGGTACTTCTGGATTGGTTTGTTTTGCTTCCTTAGGACGTCTTACTGCTAAGTCAGTTCATAAACTCTAAAGGAGGGATGATATCTCGTAAGATCACGGGGCTTTGTAACGAAGAGCATGAAAAGATTTCAGTGTGCGTGCAAATGGCTCACCGAGCAGGTAACTACTTTCAGTTTCCTTGTTTCTCTTTTGTGTGAATAAGAATCAGCTGGAAAAAATGAATCTTAGTTGCTCTAAAACATCGTTCTCAATGATATTTACTAACCCTGCTTTCACTGCTTGCAAACATCCCCGCAGCGGAGCTTCAGTTCTACTGTTTAAGGTTAAACTGTGATAGAACTTTGTAGTCTTTGTGCTGTATGATACATTTAGCAATCTCTAGCAAGATACATCAGCAAATGGATTAATAATATAGAACCTGTGCAAAAGATCCTGTTAATCCTGTTAGCTCCAGTCTTACAAAGAAAACTGAGACAGAGCAGTTCCTGCTCTGATCTCTTTGTCTTATTCCATTGTGCAAGATATAAGGAGGCAAAATGTTAGGGACTAAAGGTCAGCAACATTTTAGGAATAAAAGCATGGAACTAAAAGCCAGCAACATTTTGGTAATAAATGGAAGCTACAAATCTGATGGACTGTAGCATATATACCAAGATTCTGTCAGAGGTGGGTTTCAGCAGGTTCTGACCAGTTCTGGAGAACCGGTAGCGGACATTTTGAGTAGTTCGGAGAACCAGTAGTAAAAATTCTGACTGGCCCCACCCCCATCTATTCTCTGCCTCCCAAGTCCCAGCTGATTGAGAGGAAATGGGGATTTTGCAGTAACCTTCCCCTGGAGTGGATTGGGATTTGAGATTTTACGGTATCATTCCCCTGGAGTTGGGTGGGAATGGAGATTTTAAAGTATCCTTCCTGTGCCACGCCCACCAAGCCATGCCCACCAACCAAGCCACACCCACAGAACCGGTAGTAAAAAAATTTGAAACCCACCACTGGATTCTGTGTAAAATCAAAGTGCTACAATGTGATCAACCTACTGTCCCATATGATTTTAGACACTTTAAATAATCATTTGCAGCTGATTTTTATGCTTCGAAAATAAAGAAGATAGTAAGATTTCCATTTATTGGAGATGAATGGGTAACTGTATTTGAGTTCGTAACGTAACTTACATACTAGAATTGGATGCGTATTTAGGAAATTGCTTAATTTTTTTCCTTTCTCTCTCCACCCCACCACCCCCATTTTTAGGTTTGCTGCCAGATCATAAACCTAAACTTCCTGAAGGTTTTGTTCGCAAACCTAAGCTAATCCTCAACAGGTCAGGTGCTCTTTGACTACTAAGTGGGTGAGGGAGGGGAAATTTTTAGACTCCTTAGAAGTGGACCGAAAACAACAGTTAAGGTAGTCCTCAACCTATGATCACAATCGAGCCCAAAATTTCCATTACTCAGCAAGACAGTTGTTAAATGAGATTTGCCCCATTCTACAACCTTTCTTGCCACAGTTGTTAAATGAATCACTGCAGTTGTTGAGAGGATCATTCGGTCATTAAACAAATCTGGCTTCCCCCATTGACTTTGCTTGTTGGAAGCCAGGAGAAGAGTGTAAGTGGTAGTCACATGACCCCCCCCCCCCCCCCGGACAGTGCAAGTGTCATAAATATATGCCAGTTGCAAGCGTACAAAATTTGATCACGTGACCATGGGAATACCGCCACGGTCATAAGTGTGAAAACCAGTCATAAGTCACTTTTTTCGGTGCCATTGTAACTTCAAATAGTCCCTAAATAAATGGTTGTAAGTTGAGGACTACCTGTATAGTTTAGTTTATTAATTGATTAATCACACAATCAGAAAACAAAAATACATGATCTGGTTCTGGGATTAAAAAGGTAAAAGAAAATACAATGATAAAATGCATATGTAGTCATACAAGAGTCAGGAATCAAATAAATGTATCACCTTTACAGGGAACACCAGTTTGTTCAATGTATCAGGATCTTAGTTCAACTGCGTTAATTATAAACTTAGCAGTTCTGCTTTTACAGTATGTACATTGGAGCACAGAAGAGAATAAGACAACCTGATTCAGATCCCAGTGGGCTGTTCTTTCCAATAGAGATGATAAGTATTTGAGCCTAAAGGGGTGAAGACAACAAATAGATCCATGATCCAGTTTGTGGGATATAACATCCCTCTAATTCAGGGGTGTCAAACTTGCGGCCGGATGCATCATGCGCTGGCCACACCCACCCTCATGCTAGCAAAGACAGAAAGTCGTGATACGTCATGTGATGACGACGTGACATTGCAAGTTTGACACCCGTGCTCCAATTGGAGTAGAAGCCTCTCTAATATATGAGTATCGGAACCCACTGATCTTTTAGTTGATAAACTCTGCTTAGTTGATAAATTTTCCTACATATAATGAATCTTAGTAGTTTTTTGTAAAAAGAGCCATGTATTATACAAACCATCTGGTTCTTTTTTAGTCTTCATGCTTTCATTTTTTCCATCCCCCCCTTTAATTTTCTGTTATCTATTGTCCACTTTTAATCATTTGGCAATTGTGAGCTACATAATAGATAAGCTATTTTATTAGCATCAATGGGTGGCAAAAAGAACACGAAGGTGGCACTTATTCTGTCTCCCCCTTTTTATTTTAGTTTTTTTTTTCTTTGCCTGCACTTCATAGTTTACCTAAATTTACCTAAATCTCTTCCAGTCTTCCAGTCTTTTTTCTCCTCTCCATCCTGCTTTCACACCTAGTTCTTTAATGGGGAAACTTAAACCTCCTGTTGCCTTTTTTTTTTTTTTGCTTTGCTGTCTGTTCAGAGGAGCTAATCCCTTTTTTATGACCTTGATTTTTGTTCCCATGGAAATGTCAAAGCACTTTATGAAGACAGTATTTGCAAGCCATGGTGTTACCAAATGCCAGAGTCACTGTTCTCTAGGAAAAATCAGAAACTTTGAGGTTGCATCCTTGTCCTTTTCCAGGGATGTGGTCATAGCTCAATCCCTTTTCTGTTGATTGTATTCTGTATAAATTTTAGAAGTGCTTCTGTTATTTTTATTTTCTGGGTGGTCTTTATGTTTTTACAGGGATATACCGTATTTTTTTGCACTATAAGATGCACTTTTATCCCCAAAAATAGTGGGTGGAGATTTCTGTATGTCATATAGAGCAAATATTGCGGCGGGGGGGAGGGGAGGTTGGTGTGGCGGCGTTCGCTGTCACCTGTCTCTGCTGCCACCGTTCGCCATCGCCGGAGAACATTGGAGCCTTCTCTGCTGAGCAGCTGATTGGCGATTGGATTGGCCTCCCATAATACCACCAGTCACCGCCTAGAACAGCTGATTGGCAGTATTCTGGGAGGCCAATCCAACCACCAATCAGTTGCTCGGCAGCGAAGGCTCCAGTGTTCCCCGGCGGAGGCAGCAGCTCAGTTCAGTTTACCAGTGGTGGGTGCAACACTGCAGAGCCCTTATGAGCCACGTGCTGAGGCTACAGTAACGTGCTGAAGCTGACCATGCTGTTTGCTGCAAGGACACTAGCCAGATGAATATCAGATGGATGCTGGGAAGCAGAGGCAAAAAAAAATCTTGTTTTCCTTCTCTAAAGCTAATGTGCAGTGTGTCTTATAGTGCAAAAAATACGATATTTTTAGGAACATGTTTATGTGTATAGACAATATTTGAATACATATTTGTATGTATAGACCCTGTTTAAAAAGTAAAAAAGAAACAGGATACCTACTACTCCCTAGGATTGCTTTTATGAAATCTTCTTTCTGGACTGTCATATGATGATTTATTAACTCTAACATTAACTCCACTGGTCTGAATTCAGCCTACTAGATGAAGGCAGCAGTGATCAATTCCATTCCTTTCCCCATGGAACAGAAATAGAATTTAAGCCAAACAATTTAACAAACTGCTGTAAGAGAGATTTAATTTTGGTAGCTCTTACGTCTGTCTTTCCTTTGCTTTCCCGGTGTAGAGCTCACAGACCTGGAGGGTGGGAAAGGAAGGCAGGCTGGAATAAATTTGGTAACGGGGGACAAAACAAGGAATTGTATTTGAAAGTGACAGAGCATTAATGAAATGCAAAGTTTTTGGAACAGTAAGTAGAACTAGCAGGACAGAGCTGTCTTTGCTGAGGCATTTTTAGGAATGCTTCTCCAACTCATTGGGATTTTGTCTCTGTTGACTGCAGAGAGAAAATGTTTCGTTTTTGGACGATTGCCATATCTCAACCAGGACAAAAAGGTTGTGGATTTGGCTATGTGCCTACCCCCCACCTGTGCCTCCCACATTGATTTCTGGAACAGTCAGCAATGCAGAAAAAGTGGATGCTTTTTAAACATTTCTTTTCATAACTCTGATGAGTTAAGTTGTAACACACTACTCAGACTGCCACTTTCTCTATTCAGAACAGCCTCAGAAGAAGCAATGGTCTTCAAGGCACAGGACCCGAGTTTGGAAATTTGTTTCCAACTTTGTTATGAACTTTGTTTAAGTATCTGTCTTTGTGCTTTCTGCTCCCACATGCACAATATACCTTTAAGGTAATTGGAGAGAAAATGCTTAGTTTCTTGACATGGTAAAATTGTGTGAATCAGAGCACTAACATTTCATGGCCTCTCATTTAAAAATAATGGCAAGATGCATTTTACTTTAATTATGTTTAGGAAACATATTGTGGGTGAGGAATAAATTATTCCCAGTATATATTTCTTCTTCCATTTCTTCTTTTTTTAAGTGAGAAAAGCATTGTTGAACTGAAATACCAGTAATGGTTGCAGAAATTAGCGGTCTAAAAATATTACAGAATATGATTGTTATTGTTGTTACTACAGTACCAATTTTGATTTCCCAGCTTTTCTGCAAGATGGCTGGACAGAGTCCTTCCCCCATGTAGGAAGGATAGAGAATTGGCAACTAGACAGGGTCACCCGGACAGACTCATGGCCAAGTAAAGATTTTAATCCAGTTCTCAACGGTAATAGCTGAACACAAAACCCGGTGCCATACTGGCTATTTTCTCTCACCACAAGCTTTCAAAGTGTTGAACATTGCCCTCCCCTGAATAGGATGAAAACAAGAATTTTGTTCTGAAACTTTCCCCGAATTGAAGGACAGGTCAAGCATACAGAGTGCGTGACTTCATGGGAAATTTTGCTTTACGTGTAATAATTAAATCTTTGCCTTAACCTGAAGGCCGTTCTCTGTGCTCATTTCCCCTAGAAATTCTTCTCATTATTCCCATGAGCAAAGAGACAAGTAACCCTTTGAATATCTTGGCTCAGTGCCCTGCCTTGATGAAGGTGTAGAGTTCTGGCTCTCTCCCCTGGTAGCAGATGAGATGATGACTGCATGAAATCTTGTCTCAACACCCCTTGACCCCGGAATCTGAAAAATCACACCACTGAAGTTTGACAGCAAATTGGCTAAATTTCAGATTTTAGCAGGAATTTTCATATTTTTAATATCTGTTCTGGATTTGGGGGGAGAGGGATAATATTTGAAAAAGATTAAATATATCAACTATCATCCAAGGGCCTGAAATTGCCATGCACAATTGGGGACTGCTTTTCAAGATTTAGAGGAACTCAGTGCAGGTAGTCTTCGCTTACCAATTACTATTGATAATTACTAATTAAAGGTAAAAGTAAAGGTTTCCCCTGTCCAGTCATGGTCGAGTCTAGGAGGTATTGCTCATCTCTGTTTCTTAGCCGAGGGAGACAGCATTGTCTGAAGACACTTCTGTGGTCATGTGGCAGCATGACTATATGCCAAGGCGCACAAAACTCTTACTACCTTCCCACCTAAGTGGTACCTATTTATCTACTTGCATTTGCATGATTTCAAGCTGCTAGGTGGGCAGGAGCTGGGGACACGTAACAGGAGCTCACCCTATTGTGTGGTGCTCGGGTCTCGAACCTGGGCTGTCAGGTTTCCAATTTACAAGCTCGGCATCTTTAACAGCTAAGCTGTTGCGCCCCCAATAATTACTAATTAACAATGGGAATTAACAATAGGAATTGGGAAGAGGAACTCTGTCACAGTTGTAAGGCATATCACATGACAACACTGATGTACAACCGGAGTTCTAGCAATCCCAGTTGCCACTGTTAAGTAGATCCCATGCAGTTGCAGTATCCCTGCAGTGTCGCATGGTCACATGATTGCCATTTGCAACCTCCATATTGCAATCGTGACCACAGAGAGGCTGCAACAGCCACAACAGGAACCCATCATAACTACTATTCATTCAGCGCTGTCATAACTTTGATCAGTTGCTGAACAAGTGGCCGTTAAATGAGGGCTACTTGTATGGGAAGGTAGGTAAATCTGTTATTATTCTTAATGACTCCACAAAATAGGATGAAAAAACAGCCCCAAAAATGGGTTTAGGGTGGGAACGTGATTAGTTTGCCTCCCATGAACCCCCCTCCTCCCATTTTCATTAATTATCACCAAAAGAAAACACCTTATCATCTCCTTCAACCCTTGGAAGGCTCTGAGGAGCCCATTCCTGATGTAAAATATTTCTATTACCTGGTTCTGCCAATTGGCCTTGGGCCCCAATAGGGTGTTCCGTGTTAGAGGTGTTATGAAGAAAATCCCACCTCCACCCATAGGATTCTGGGTTTTTTTTTAACTTACTTAGATTCATTTTAATATTTAATGTTTTGTACCTTGGTTTTTTATGATGTTTGGGAGCCACCCAGAGATGGTGGCATATAAATTTAATAAATAAATAAAATATTGTCCTTCATCAAATCACAACATAAATGCTCATTGAAAGCCTAATCCAGTCCAAGAAAATCCTGGACTCCAGCTGAACATAGGATACACAAAGAGAAAAGGGTTGTGCATCAAAGCAGCACAGCATTCATCCCAGGTTCGGCATTCTCCTGCCTGTTGTTTTTCCAGCCACCCCTATCTCTCTCTGCCAGTGTCCCATATTTACTGTAAAGGAGTTTTTCTGTGCCATCATTACATTATTCTAGGATTAGTTTTGTTTATATGTATGGGCCGTAGGTATGTGTGTGTAATACACACATACACGTATACCCAATGTGTAATATATCAGTGGTGGGTTGCTTCCAGTTCACACTGGTTCGCAAGAACCAATAGTAAAAATTTGTAGTAGTTCGGAGAACCAGTAATAACATTGGCTGGCCACGCCCCAGAACCGGTCTCCGGCCCGGTCACCACTCGCTTACCCCACCCACCTCATCAGAAGCTTTTTTTTTTTTTACTTTTAAAAGCATTTTTTCTACAACCTCTTTGGCCAAAAAAATGCTTTTAAAAGTAAAAAAAAAAAGCCTCTGATGATCGCGCGGCTCCACTGGGATCGTCAGAGGCTTTTAAAAGCATTTTTTCTATAACCTCTTTGGCCAAAGAGGTTGTAGGGAGGAAAATGCCTTTAAAAGCCTCTGGCGATCCCAGCTGAGTTGCCTGATCGGTAGAGGCTTTTAAAAGTATTTTTTTTCTGCAGCCCCTTAAGGTTGTAGAAAAAATGTTTTAAAAAGTTCTTTAAAAAAAGTTGGCCATGCCCACCCAGCCACATTACCCCGCCCCCCCACCAAGCCACACCACAGAACCGGTAGTAAAAAAAAATTAGAACCCACCCCTGGTATATATGTATTATGTATATGTACACTTTTGAGAGCAGGCAACAGAATTTCATTTTTAACATGTGCCACTGTGCCCACAGTAAAAAATGACAAAGGTTTATCTATCTATCTAGTTTTTCTTTAAAAAGTAATTTACAAACTTTATCTGTTGTTATCCCAGTTGTATAATTTTTAGATTTTATTATATGTCATATCATCTCCAACATCTGTTTCTCAAAGCTGCAATAAAATTATGTCTAGACTACGTAGAGAAGATCAGCACCTGGTAAATTACATCATAAAAATAATATTGGAACGTCTGTATATGCTGTAATAGGGAAGTTAATCTGATGCCATGCATTACAAATTCATGGTCTTATATGAAAATATAATAAGGAAAGCTTATATAGAGAATACTTCACCTGAAGATAATGAAAGATTTAATGTCTTATTTTTACTTCAAAGGCATAATATGGCTATTGAATATTACATTGGAATCTAAACAGTACTAAGTGAATTGTTCCTCATACAGGTTTTTAAGACATTAATGGCCGGTATAAATAAGACTGTAAGGAAGAGGTCTGGACTTAATCCACATGCTTTAATACTTTGCATTTTATCTATTGCTTTTTGCTTTATTAAGCCTAAGGTAGCATCCAGCATGTTCATCTCTATTCTTATCTGCTCTTCAGATTTCAGTCCAGACTTGACTGCTGTTCTGAAATTTTGCCCATTTTCATAAGCAGGCTTGGTTCAGCTCACTTTCTGCAAGATAGTAGATCAGGTTTTGAAGGGGAAGGGGAAGTTAGATTCTAATTTTAGTAAAGCAGATAGAGACAAACCAAAGTTTATAACTACAGCCTACACAATACAATTTAGAAAGGCCTCCCGGAATTGGCATATATTCCATACTTCACACTGCCATATTAAATATCTATAAAATTAGTTTGTCAGATTATGATGTATTTCAGTGAAGCCTTTTTTCTACTCTTCCTGTAGTTTCTCCATGAAGTTTAAATTAAAAGAAAATTTAGGCTTTGATTTGTCCTGTGTAATGAAATACACTGCTCAAAAAAATAAAGGGAACATAAGCAGAAGACATCCGAGATCCGAATGAATGAAATAGCCTTATTAAATACTTTGTTCATTACATACAGTAGTTTTGTGTTCCCTTTAGTTGTTTGAGCAGTGTATAAACTACTGTATGTAAAGAACAAAGTATTTAATAAGGCTATTTCATTCATTCAGATCTCGGATGTCTTCTGCTTGTGTTCCCTTTATTTTTTTGAGCAGTATATTTTGGTGGGGAATATCTTTCGGTTAATTTCTGGTGACTGCCTGGACCAGTCCCTGCTATTTTCCTTGGCAAGATTTCAGAAGTGGTTTGCCATTTTCTTTCTAGGGCTGGAGAGGATTGACTGGCCCAAGGTTACCCATTGATTTTGGGCCTAAGACAGGACTAGAACTCACAGTCTTCTGGTTCCTAACCAGATGCCTTAACTGTTCTTCCAGGCTGGCTCCCTAATAAAATCTACTGAGCCATTAAGAATTATTAACTCCAACTGTTTTTTCCAAATGATTCTCAACAGGTTTCTCTTTTTTTTATATCTAGAATGAAACATGAGTTCATTCATGCTAAATGTATTATGTGAAGTAAAAAAATCAAACTTTACTAATATTTTCAGCATGAAAAATATTATTTCTTCAATTCCTTGATGTCTATTTTTTACATTTCTGAACCTTGTAGCTATTGTCATGTGCTTACAACTTAAGCTATTATGTACTTGACAGCTTTATTTCTTCATTTGACAGCACCAGAGAGCAAAACCTTCTTTGGAATCTTTCATTTTGAAAAGTGTTGGAGCAATGGGAACATTTTTATATGTTCAAAACTGCTTCAGGCTACAGGGATTTTATTACCGTTTTGCACATCCTAAATGGGCAAAGACGCAAATCAGTTTTACACAGCTCCATCAAAAGCACTTAACATTTCATGTGTGCATATTATTCCTCACCAGAGAGGCATATGTGCAACTTTATTGATCACTTCCTTGTCTGCACTGTTGCATTTATCAAGAGAGTTTTGTTAAACTGAATTGAAAATTCTGCATGGGGGGAAAAAAACCCTTGAGAGCAAAATGCTGTTATGATTCTAAATATCTCTCGTTAATCTTGTCTTCTGAAGCTAGTGGATACAGTATAACCAATCCACTTCTCTTAGCTCCTTGGTTTATGTTAGGAGTTCTCATAGGAAAAATGTGATTGAATCCTATTTAGCAAGCAACTTAACTTATTCCTTTTTTTCTTTTCTCTCATTTATTTAGTTTCTATTATATTTTAATTTTTCTTTTTTTCTTTCTATATATATATTTATATTACAAGCAATAAAAATAATTTAAAAAAAGAACTTCACTGCACTTTCTTATCAGAATGTGTGAAAAAGAATGGTCCTGCCAATTCTTATTCTCCTGTATTAAGAAAACTTAACCAAGTTTTTTAACAAAATAGTCATTAATTCCTTTGGCAATTCAAATCCTTCTCAACTTAGTAGAACTGCCTTGCGCCTGTCTTGTGAACACAACAAAGATTCACCAGATAATTTGATATCGTTTCAAAAGGATGAAATAGAAATCATAAGATTGAAGTTGGCCAGTGCATTGCAATAACCTGATACCCAGATGTAGCCAGTTAGAATTGGACCTTGCTGAAGGACCAGTATGTGCCTGGTTTTATTTTGAAATAATGAAATGGTGGAAAGAATGAATGAGAAGTTAACAGCCATTGATTGAATTTCAGAACAATACCTAATAGGAAAGTAAAACAGAACAGAGTTTCTTATTTCTCGCCTGATTCCTAAAGCAGCACGAGGCAGGAGCATTTTAATTAATGATTCCTGCTATTGTAACTGAAGACATACAGCCCACAATTAAGATGTTTAGATCATTTCACAGAGGCACATGGGTCCCTAGCTGCCATTTCTGTGCTGATAAAAAATAAAATGAGGATGGCATTTATAAGTATTTATTGCATTTTAAGCATGTTTTGTGATTGCCAGTTTTATTCATGGCATGGTTTTCTGCTTCTCTTCACAGGTACTATACCAGATATCCTATTGACTCTGTGAGACCCATTTACAATAAGGGGAGAAAATGGTGCAAAGTTCCTATGCCTATATCTCATCCAATACTTAAAGATAATATTACTTATGGATCAAAGCCCCTTCGTTTTAACCACTGAAGGAGAGTGCAGCTTGAGTTGACAGTAGATGACGATCATTCAAATCCTGTGTGCATCATAGATGTTTTGTAGAGTCTGGAAGAAACAAAATGGTTGCAGTTGGTGATGTTGTTTTGCTGGAGCCTGGGAAGACTAGTTGAACAACCAAATTGTCATCTCTATGGAGGCATATCACATTTTTGTGTATATTCCAATTAAACTCTTGTGATGAATTTTTTGTCATGAGCTTTTTTCAGTTATTTCAATAGCCTGTATGATTTGCATCCTATACTACCCTAAACGAATTGCTGAAGAATACAATCATATAATGTAAGATTTGGAAGAGTTCTTTTATAAAAATCATACAGTCCAGATCCCTGCCCAGTACAAGAATCACCAGTGCTAAAATACCTCCAGAAAACGTCCACTATCTCCTTAAGTAGTCTATTGTTGAATAGCATAACATTACATTTTCCTGTCCAATCACAGTCTGCTTCCTTGTAATTTAAGTAATTTTTTTTCATCTAAGATTTTCCTTCCTTACAGACCCTTTATTATCTGATTACTGTCCTCTGGACACATACTACTTTGTCATTCCTAAAATACACATCAAAAATTGGGTGCAATATCCTCAGTGTGGTCTGACAAATCTATTTTGACTCTCCATACTTTTGTGGATGGAGCTAAGGATTGCATTTGGGTTTTTTTTGGTAACTATTCTGCAGGATTCCCAGATTCTTTTTGCATATAGTCCTGCCCCGTATGATTTTCTACCCCCAACTCTATGTTCAGATCTTTGATTTGTTGTGTGTGCATGCACTATTGTAAACATCTATAGAGATTCTCAGTTATCCAGGTTGTCCCAAAGGTGCTTTTTCAAAAAGCATCTGGACTTTGTTTTTCCTTGAAGACATTTCACTTCTCATCCAAGAAGCGTCTTCAGTTCCGACTGAATGGTGGAGGATGGAAGGATTTATATTCCTTGCAGTTGTCTGGTTGTTGGCACTCTTTCTGAGAGTCATTGGGGCCACCTGGAGGTTTATCCCTCAAGGTTACCTGAATAGTGAAAGTGGGTGTGAAACGACTCAACTACTGAACATGTTTTTAAAATATAGATCACAAAGAAATAGCCTGATTTCACACTGATTTATTAAATCAAAAATATAGACATAAGTACAAAATAATTGCAACATTAGAACATAACTTCCTTAATTTTCTTGTGTTTGTGAACTTCACAACATGAAGGGTAAGTCTATGTTCTTCTCTCCATGGCCAAAATAGATATAACCATGCTGTTTAGTATTAGGAACATGATAGAATGTGAGTCCAGGCCAGAGTAGACTTCGCAGCACTACTACTCTGCTTCCTCTCTCTACTTGGATGCTCCAGGACCCTATAGAAAAAACAAATGTTTACAAATATCACCATATACAATGAGATCACAGATACTTTAGCAAAAAAACAGCAATAGAGGAATTAGGAGCAGCAAACACGTATACTTTGTTCCACGCAATCTATGTACAGTAATTTCTTTGGAAACTGCAGTAATCTTTCCTGTATAAAACAGAACATCTCCTTGGCATCATTCCTATGTGTTGCTCACATATTGGAAATGAAAAAAGTACAATATTTCTATGAGTTATCTGAATCCTCATGCATTTCTTCCTATCAGATTTAAGGCTTTAAAAATATCTATTATATATATATATATATACAAACTATACCATGAAAAGTAATGTTTATTTAGTTCCTAAAATAAATCTAGTAATATCTACAAAGGTCTCCCTTACTCCAAGAGTAATAATTTGCTTCTGTGGATATTTTGCACTTGTTTCATTATGCAAAATTAGTTATCTTTTCCTTTTCTAATAATGGCAATCTCTTCTTAATTTTGAAGCAAGGTGCAAGGAAGAGAGAAGTGCTCTTTTCCCCCTAAAGGAAGAATTCAGATGTATTGAATATCATACTACTGTGTTTTGAATTGTGATGAGGTATTATTGTTCTAAGGGTAAAATTAGTGCTTTAGTTCCTGAAAAGCAAAAGTAAGAAAAAGAAACGGCAGAGAGAGAGTCACAAAGCCTCCATTAATTTACAGAACAATTCATTTTCCTTGGTATCTTATGTGGTTCCAACTTTGAAGAAAAGGAGTATTAAGGTAGTAAAAGGATTAGTTTCAATGTTAATTTATGCTTTGGTGATGCCAAGAATATTAAAGTATCATTCAAACCTAGACTGATCAATGGGTTCTGAACTAATAGCCAGAGAACTATGGGAGTGAAAAAAGGAGCATTACAGTGGATACGCTTCATCCAAAGAAACTTGACAAAATTGGAGAATAATCCCAGTAAATATTAAATAGAAATATTCACAGATGGAAATGTTCAGGTAGTTCCTAGAAAAAGAACTATAGATATCTTAATACAATGCTATTCTTGTGGCAAATTCTTTGTGCTTTCTGAATTCCATATCAAAATGAGTGTTCAAGAATCTATATTAGATACCACAATACTGATCATCATACTGTAATTCTGGTGTTAAGATAATAATTTACTTAATGGTGCACTTTTGAATACTTCAGTGACACACACTATTATTTTCTGAAAGTTGAGCTGACCAGTCCCTCCAACCTACAATAATGATCTGTGTCTTCCCCCCACCCCATTTAATTTCCACCACATACTCTCCTTGGGATATCCTCTTTGGGACTGCCATTAAAGGCCATTCACAAATTACAGCTGGTGAATAGAGCAGCTGCTTCCTTTATAAGCAGAAAACTACATAACAAGTACAACTTTTTTTACCGGGTTCCTGCCAAACAAATGTCAGATCCACTGTTTCTCCTTTGTTAGACTTGAAGCAGCAAAATCAAAGCCTCACCTAATCCAAGACTGAGCATTACCTTTTTTGTTAATAATCAACACAAACATTTCACATAATCAAGTTCAAGGTGGAATTTAATGAAATTGTAATGATATTTTATGAAGTAAGGAGATGCAGTTTCTTTAAAGTTTCCTTTAAAAGATCAGTCATTCAATTTAAATATAAATTGTCTACAAAGAAAGGTAATTTTCATAGGTATTTTTAAAGATAGCTGCCATGGTGCTTTCTAGTTAATTGTTGCCAGCATCTAACCATCATCAGGAAGCAAATGACAAGCAGCATTAAAGGAGGAAAAACTTTTTCAGAACATTGATAAATCATCACTGAAAATAAAACAAATACTCGGAGATCTATGAAGGCTGTAAATCTTGCTAAATTCCAACCTGGTTTTTGCCACATAGACTCTAGCATAAAAGGCTGTTATTGTTGCTGCTCTTTTATCCAACTCTTTTATTTCAGTATATGATATGTAAGCCATCCAAATGTCAAATTTATCACAGGCAGAATAAAGAATTATACTATTCATTTTATAGTTTCTTCAATACTCAGAAATTCTCAGAGGGAGAGAAACTCCTTTAAAATGTGTTGAATTATGAGCATGATTACTTTGCCTGCTCTTTCGGCTGTTTTTAATACCAACAATAACCTGCATCAGCTCTGCGGGTTTGGGAATGGGAGGTACCATTTTGAGGTGATCCTCCTCCTTTCTCCATGATTGATTCCAGGAGATGTTAGTGGGGAAGGGGAGGTCAAACCATAGGCCCCTGCAGTACCGGGTGCCTCAGAGCTTGGGTCTCTCCCCTCTCCTCTTAACATCTACTTGAAGCCGCTGATAAATTGTCTTTGGCTCAAACCTGACAAGATGGAATGGCTCTAGGGTTTCGGTCCCCCAAGGGCTGCTGACTTGTCATCTTTGACTCTGGGTGGGGTTGCACAGATGCACTGATCTGCAAGTCTTCTATGCCAACTGTGTCTTTTCCTGGACTGGGAGGCCCCGCGAATGGTCACTCATGCCTTAGTCACCTCCCAATTGGATTATTGCAATGTGTTTTATATGGGCTGTCCTTGAAGACCACTCAGAAATTGTAACTGGTCCAGAATGCAGCAGTACACATAGTATTAGGTGCCCATTAGTTCATCCATGTTACACCTCTATTTGCAAAAGCTGAACTGGCTGCCAGTTCTCTTCTGGATGCAATTTAGGGTGCTGGTTATCACCTTTAAAGGACCTGGTTATTTGCAGGACTGCCTTCTCCTAAGAATATCTGTCCATCCCACTAGAACTGATAGGGATGAGAGAAAGTGACTGGCTCAAGATCACCCAGCTAGCTTTGTGCCTAAGATGAGACTAGAATTCAGAGTCTCCCAGTTTCTAGCCTGATGTCTTAATTACTACAACAAACTTGCTTTCCTTGTACTGTGGCAAATGCTAATGCCTGTTAACCTCTTTTAATTACTATCTTAGTTAATTGGACAAGACTGATATGTTTATAAGTAAAACGGGCACTTCCTACCTCAGTACTGAAGTTTTTATCTTCAGTGGATAGAGGGAAGCAGTAGTAAGTAGACAAATCTTCGAGTTGCTCATGGGACACCCCAGCTGCATTATGTCAGCTATGTTGAAGATCAAGAGTATAATATACTCATGAAAGAGGCTTTGCAGAGTTACTTCTTAAATATTTTTAAAATAAAGAAAATTTGCTTTTCAAGCTGCACTTGGCAGAGATACCCAAACCTAATGTTGCCTCAATTTTTTTTTAAAAAAAATTGGCCTGTGAGCTCCAAAAGGAGAAAGAGGTGTGGGAGGAAAGGGCCTGGGAAAATTATCCTTTGGATGAAGATTGTGAACTTCCGATTCCCACTCTGGAGCAGGCTACAGTCTTCACCCTGCCAAATATGGGTGGGAATGCTAGGGAGGTGCCTACAATTTTCCAAACAAGACATTGCTTGGAATGTTTTTTTGCTCAACCAACCACTGCCTTTTTGATGGACCATCTGTCAGAAACCATCTACCTCCCTCTCATATTCTGCTTTTTGTCTAGTCTGTCACCAAATTCGTATTTCACCCTCATGTCTGTCTGGTCTCTGGCCTGAAACATTTACTATAAATTTAGTTATGGGGATTATTTTAAAAACTAATGTTAAACTGGGAAGCGCTTGAAACAACAGAGAGCTGATCCACTTCAAATCCACTCTTCCATAACACTGCTGCTTTGGATGTATTTCAAAGTTTATGTTCTGGTGTGGTGCCTGGCAGGAAAGCAAGTAAGTCATCATTTAGTAAAATTTGACGGTCCCAAAAGGTAGTATCAGGATAATAAAAACAAGAACACCTGACTCTGAAGTTATTACA